GAGAGAGAGAGAGAGAGAGAGAGAGAGAGAGAGAGAGAGAGAGAGAGAGAGAGAGAGAGAGAGAGAGGGAGGGAGGGAGGGAGGGAGGGAGGGAGCGGTGTTGTCTGGTTAGTGGAGAGCTCAAGGATGGAGTCGTCAATGGATGGTGAGAGTGGGAAAGGTGTTCGGGGTGAAGATACCCACGAGGCAACAGAAGGAAGTTTGGAAAATGGGCGAAGAACTACGGGGCAACCGTCTCAAGATGCAACAGGGGAGGCTGCCACGGATAAAGATAGAGAAGGACAGCTTGCAGAGGGAAGTACTCCAGAAAAGAAGGAAGGGATGACTAAAAATTTGGATGACGACGACGAAGACGGAGAGAGGGCTGAGCTGATACTGTTCCAGGTTAAGGAATGTTACGTGTATAAGATCCCACCTCGAAAGTCGAACCTATCCTATCGTGCTGATGAATGGGACATCAACAAGTGGACATGGCAAGGGGCAATGCGTATCGTATCGAAGGGTACCGAATGTTCGATACGGTTGGAGGACCCAATCTCAGGAGAACTGTTTGCCCAGGCACCGGTGCGGGCGACTGATCCTTTTCCTGTTGAAGGAGTCGTGGACAGTAGTCGCTTCTTTGTTCTGAGGGTCGAAGACTCGTCCGGTCCTCATGTGCGGCACGCTTTTGTAGGTTTGGGGTTTCGGGAACGCACGCAAGCCTACGACTTCAATGCTGCGCTTCAAGATCACCTCAAATACGTCAACCGCAAGAAAGAAGCAGAGGAAGTAGCTGAAGAGTACAAACACAAGCCCTCTGCAGATTACAGCCTCAAAGAAGGGCAGACACTTCGGTTGGAAATCCGTACCTCCTTGTCCCCTGGTGCAAAGGCCAAGTTGTCGGCTGATGGAACCCCGATGAAATTGCTGACCCGCGGAAGCATGCTTTTTTCCGATCAACGGACAACTGATGTGAAGGGTGCTGCTGCCGCTGGTGCCGGTGGTGCCGCTGGTGCCGCTGGTGCTTCCAGTGCTGGGATAGCTTTACCATCACTTCCCCCACCTCCAAAACCCGGAGAATATATTCGCCGGCCTTCACTGGAGGGTCTTGGCTCAGCTGCAAGCAAGACATCAGCGGGAGCTTCTCCTTCAATCCTTCATCTGATAATTCCCCCACCACACACTCCTGCAAGGATGGTGACCTCTCCACCACCGGTAGCGGCAGCTGCCTCACCTGTTTCTGACAGGCCATCACCGGTTGTCAGTTCAGATCCAAGTCCAGATGATGAGGATTTTGGGGACTTCCAGACTGCGTGATCTATGGAGCTCGTCGGATGACAGGCGTGTTTTGAGGTAAAGTAGAAGGGCAGGGAAGGGAAGGGGAGGGGAGGGAAGGGCAGGAGAGGGGAGGGGAGGGGAGGGGATGGAAAAGGGAGGGTCTTTGAATGTTTGGTGTGGTGCAGAACAGCAGAAGGTTTGCTTTGTGGATTTTCTTCTCCTGAATGGTCAACAAAAGGCTGATGTCTGTCCTGAACGTCTTTTTTGTCACGAGTCCCGAAGAGCATACTCACACTAGTGGAGTTTCTTGACTGAATTTGGGCTTAATTGCAGTAGGATGCATTCAAAAAAGCAGAAGCGTGAGTATCCCCCGACTTGCCTTGAAGGGTTTGACTTGTTGCCCGCTGAGTCTCACTGGACCTCTCAGCCCCAGCTGACCACAGAAGAGGCCTTTGCAGTTGATCCGGGAACAGAACTCGCTCCTTCAAACTTGTAGACAGGTAGACAGGGAAGGGTCGTTAGCGAGATTTTAGCTGTCCAGAAGCTATGGTGCAGATGTACTAGGAAGAGTGTCGCACACAGAGAGAGAGAGAGAGAGAGAGAGAGAGAGAGAGAGAGAGAGAGAGAGAGAGAGAGAGTCGTTAGCGAGAAACTTGGAATATGCTTTGTTAGCTGTCCAGAAGCTAGGGTGT